CTCCTCCATTTCTTCACCCTTTTGGGACTACATGCATACATACACATGCTGCAGTGTATTTTTCAAGCCACTGGAACTGAGATTCATACCATGGTCAATCAGGTGGGATCCAGTTTCCTGTGCATAGCACTTAACCCCTGGGCTATGGGGCTGATCCTGGGTTTTTACTTTAAAGGAGATGTGGCTATCTTATTTCCATGCAAGTTAGAACCTTCCACAGCTATCTACATATCTGTGGAAACAATTCAATACTGGTCTATGAAACTGAATTTCAGGACAATCCAGAAGTTTCACCTGCTAATTGGAATGGGATCCTGGGAGCACATAATCACAAAACACTGCAGTCTGCTCTGAACTCTTCAGGTAGAATGCAAGATATTAAAATGTGTCTATCACCTTCAGAGTTCAGACTGATGAGATGAAACTGAGTTTCCATGTGCTGCCCTTCAGAGAATAATGTAAAATGTATATTTTTTGGCTAGGCTATAGGTGTTAAAGAAGGAAATAAAACAAAATAAGACTATTATTATATCTTTTTTTATGCCATTCTAAATTCTCAAATTAATATTTTATGTATTATAGCTATTCCTGATTGATGTTTACTTTATTGATGGGTGGATCTTGTAATGTTTTAAACCTTTAATATTGATTCCAATAATTTGAATTCATGAACCATTTTTTGAATTTTTTTTTTCGAGAGGTTTTTACTATAGGGCACATGCGCTCACCAGAAAGACAAAGAGACAGAGAGACAGAAAGTGAGAAATCCCCTCCAAGGGGTATGGCCATGCCACAATTCCTTCTCCTCCTCCTCTTGGGATCTTGAGCATGCAAGCACATGGGCCCAGCATGAGTTTAAGCCACCAAATCCGCTAATCAAACCATGGTCGACTACATGGGAGTCCAGTGACATAGTCATTATGCCAACTGCTGGTCCCGAAATTTTATTTTATTTTGAAAATAAAGCAAAAACTCCAGAACTATTTGTTTTTTTAAACAGAGAACTTTACATTCTTTTTTTCTGTTAAATAGTTCTTCTCTTAGACTTTATTTTTTAGAGTAATTTTAGGTTCACAAAAATATTGAGCTGAAGGTATAGAGATTTCCCATGTAACCTGTAGGACTACAACAAGCATAGGCTCCCCCACTGTCAATGACATTCCTCCCTAGAGTGGTACATTTGTTATAATGGATAGACCTACACTGACACATTGTTTTTCACTCACAGACCATACTTTGTACCAGAGTTCACTCTTGGTGTTGTACTTTCTATGATTTTGAACAAATTTATAGTAACATGTATCCATCAATAGAGTATCATACGAATAGTTTCTTCTTTTCTTTTTGGAGAGGATTTTGCTATAGGGCACGTGTGCTCCCCAGACAGACAGAGACAGAAAGACAGAAAGCGAGAAATCACCCCCCAGGGGGGATGGCCACACCATAATCCCTTCTCCTCTGTTCTCCTCTCGGGATCTTGGGCACGCATGCACATGTGCCCGGTGTGAGTTTTAAGCCACCGGGCTGGGATGCGAACCGTGGTCTACTACATGGGAGTCCAGCGACATAGCCACTATGCTAACTGCTGGTCCCTAGTACGAGTAGTTTCAATGCCCTAAAAATCCTCTGTGCTGTGCTTATCCATATCCATCTCTATCCCTTTCCTAATCCTTGGCAACCACTGATGATCTTTTTTTTGGGGGGAGGGGGTTGCTATAGGGTATGTACACTTGTCAGAGAGAGAGAGAGAGAGAGAGAGAGAGAGAGAAATCACCCTGTGGTGGGATGTTCACACCACAATCCCTTCTCTTCCATTCTCCTCTTGGGCATGTCTACATACATGCCAGGCATGATTTTCAAGCCACTGGATCTGGAACTCAAACCACAGTCTGTCATATGGGAATCTAGCACCTTCACCACTAAGCAATGTGCTGGCCCTATCACTGATCTTTATCATGTCTCCATAGTTTTGACTTTTCTAGGATGTCATAAAGTGGCAATCCTGCAATATATATCACTTTCATATACCTATCACTTAGCAATATACCTTTAGGGATCCTTTGTGTGTTTATGACTCAGTAGTTCATTCCTTCTTAGCATTCATTGTCTGGATGTACCACAGTTTATTTACCCATTTGTCTACAGAAAGACATCTTGATCGCTTCCAAGTCTTGGCAATTATGCATAAAGCTGTTCTAAGCATCCATGTGTGTAGGTTTTTGTGTGGACGTAAGTTTTTAATTCCTTTGGGTAAATGTCAAGCAACACAACTGCTGATTCGTATGGCAAGAGTACTTTCAGTTCTGTAAGAAATCTCCAAACTTTTTTTTTTTTTATCCAAACTGACTTTCAAAGTGGGTATACCATTTTGTTTCTCCATCAGTAACTAACAAGAGTTCTTGTTGCTTGACATTCTAACCAGAATTTGGTGTTGTCTCTGGATTTTGATTCTAATAGGTTTTCAGTGGTATATCACTTTGTTTCTATTTACATTTACCTGATGACATAAGATGTGGAACATCTTTTGATATGTTTATTTGAAATCTGTTTGTCTTCTTTGATGAGGTGTCTGTTAAGGTCTTCCGTCCATTTTAAAATGAGGGTGTCGATGTTCTTATCGCTTAGTTCTAATACTTCTTTCTTTAAGAGCTGTTTTAGTTTATGTCTTTAGATAACAGTCCTTCCTCAGATATGTATTTTGTAAATGTTTCCTCCTAGCCTATGATTCCTTTTCAGTCTCTTGGCAGCATATCTTTTGCAGAGCAAATTTTTTTTTCATTTTAATGAAGTCCAGTTTATTAGTTCTCTTATTAGTCATCCCTTTGGTGTCATATCTAGAAAGTCACCACCAAAATCAAGGTAATCTGAATTTTCTCATGTTATCTTTTAGAATTTTTATAGTTTCGTCTTTTCATTTGGGTCTCTAATCCATTTTGAGTTACTAGATATCCAGTTGTTACAACACCATTTGTTGAAAAGACTTTTCTCCATTGTATTTCCTTTACATCTTTCTCAATGATCAGTTGACTTTAAATATATGGGTCTATTTCTGAGTGTGGAGTAGACTCTTCACATGAATCAATTTGTCAACTATTTCACCAATACCACACTGTCTTTATTACTGTTGTTTTATAGCAAGTCTTAAAGTTGGATATTGGCAGGTCTCTTACTTATAAAATTGTTTAAGATCAAATTTGAAAGAAGATTTATTGGGGTCCAGAAGGTTACATGGTTGTTAAGGGCACTGAACTTCCACATGGCCTACTGCAGTTCAAGTCCTGGACCTGGCAATTTGCTTTCACACTCCCCCCCATTTCCCTTCCTCCCGTCCCTCTCTAATCAAATTTAAATAAATAAATAAATACAGTTAAAATAAAATAATTCTTTAAAAAAAGATCTTTTGAATTGTAGCTCTTTATTTAAATTAGTCTTTTCAAATGTGTAATATATATATATGGGTTGTTTTATAAGCATTTCCATATTTCGATGTGTTTAGGAAAGAGTCTATTTTAAATTATTACTTCTTTCCCTTAAAGTATTTCTAATGTTGCTATAATATCTGGAGCTACATTTATTTATCTATCTATAGCAATTTGCTTTCAAAGGGGGAGATCCCAGACCTGAATTGTACAGTTACAATTAACATTGTGATTTTAAAATTTAAATTAAAAATATGAAATTAGATTAGATTAGATTAAAATTGTATATCCTTGGTCACACTGACCACCTTTTGAGTGCTTAATGCCCATATGTAGCTATTAGCTGTAGTGTCAGAAAACACTGATATAGAACATTCCCATCTTTGCACAAATTTTTTCTAATGAATACTACAGAGTATGCATATATATCTACCATATTCACTTTAACCTACACTCTAATATTGTACCTTGGAATATTTGTTTAAATGACTATAGATGTAAAGAAAATTTTGAAAATTAATTTGATGTAGGATGATCTTCTGCCCCAAATTCAAGTGAATCTTTTTTATATTGTTATTTAGTCACAGAAGTATTGCTCTTACTATATGCTAATTGTATTATAGCTATTTTTTTTCTGTGAATACTTATGTTTTAGGACATATAAAATATATTGTTATAGCCATATATTTTAATGACTTTAAAATGTAGTTCTACTGCATCATGGTTTAAAATATATGTCTCTGTAGAGATGTTAATAGCTAGGCTCAATAGTATAATGCTAGTTTCTGTTCACTTAAATTATTTTTTATTTATTGTTCAAAAGTTAACTCTGATTAGGAGAAATGAACAAAGAAGTTTAGAAGGCTTTTTGAAACTAAATTTACTTTTCTTTGGAAATGCTAAATTTCAACTGTTACAGAAAGAAAAAAATTAGTCAGCAGTCTTGTATTTTAATGTGTGTTTTTTCTCTATTATTATTTACACTAGTGTATTTTTTCTTTTAATAGATCCACTAGAGTCTTAATCTAAATTTTAATACTGAATATATATATTTATGTCATTAGGAATAATTTCTGTAGTATAATTTAAAATATAAATTCCATTTTGATTTTTGGACCTGTTGTCTGTCATTATTCTGATTTGTCTTTTGTTGTTTCTTTTTTTAGTTGCAGTCTTACATGGTAATGTTATCAAAGACTATTCTGTAAAAGAAGGTTAGAGTAGAAATCGTATTATTAAAAATAGTAGCAATTCAAGATGATTTCAGAAAAGCTTGTGCTTTCATTGCCGTTTTGATGTGTTTGGTGTCAAGAGTTGAGAAAAAAGTCTTTAGATTCACATGATAAACTGACAGACTGGAATATCTTAAGGCTTGAAAGGGCAAGTAGATGTTATAATTACTGTGAAGCTGCACAATCCTTGTATTGAAATACTCACCTTTGCTATCATGCTGCAGGCCATAGAGCGAGAAAAAGCCGAGAAGTTCAGAAAACTGCAAGATGCCAGCAGATCAGCTCAGGCCCTGGTGGAACAGATGGTGAATGGTAATTACACGGAGTTGATTTAGATAATCTTCTTAGGGATTTGATAAACACATAGGTTCATATTTATCAGCTGCATTTTATCGGACAAGCACTTCTTGAATGAAAATTTATTTTAAAGGGAGTTTATATGTTTTATTATTATTATCATTATTCCTTTCTTAAAACTAAGCAAATGGGGAATTTAAAAGCAGTCTGTATGTTTATTATTATTATTATTATTCCTTTCTTAAAACTAAGCAAATGGGGTTGATTCAATTTTGCAATTATTACAAGAAAACAGGAAATGGTAGAATGTCTTATCATTCTGATGTGGAGAAATTAATTTTAGTGCAAATCCTGCTAGGATTTAGCCAAATAATTTGAAAAAGCTAAGTTTGTAGAAATAAATGATAATAGAAGCAATCATATGATATATGTAAAAGTGATTATACTCTGATTTTAATGATTTTTGCAATGTGTTTCCTCAGACAGACTAAACTTACGTGGAAAGCTTCATCATCATATTTATTTCCTAATAATGTATCTGATTTTTTAGTGCTACATTTGATCATTTTCTATCATTTCAAAAACATTCCTTTGGGGTAACCTTTATTTTTAACTAACATATTTTGAATAAAATAAAAGCACAAGGCTGGCAAAACTATTTGTTTCCTTTTTAAGAATGAATTAAGGGGCTAGCAGGTGGTATGGTAGTTAAGGGTATTAAACTCCCACATGGCCTACAGCGGTTTGAATCCTGGACCTGGCGGCTTGCTTTCTCACGTTCTCTCACTCTCTCTCTCTGTCTCTGTCTCTCTGTGCCTCTCTGGTTAAAATAAAAATAATAAAATAAATGCAGTTAAATTAAAAAAAGAATGAATTAAAATTCATCTCTGCTAATACATAGTGGCCCCAAAGCTATCTGTACTAACATGTCATTCATTGTCATAACATATAAACAAACTTCTTTCAAATTGTCATTGCTATACTGCTATATTCATTTGCAGATAAAAGTAATTCTATGAAAATCAGGGATAGTGCTATGTCCAAGCAAGATTCATTTTTTTTTTCAAAGGATATGTTTATAAGAATATCATAAACAAATATAACAAATGTTTTTGTTGTGCATGTCATCTTTTCCCGGAATCTGTCTGTGTTCTGGAACATAAATTCTGTGTATGAATTATTTTTTGCCTTAATTGGTATGTTGGCATTAAAAAGTTCAATGATCTGACCAGGAAATCAATTCATTTTCTTCTTCTAATGAGCCCCATGACTGTATTTGGTTTAAAACAGAAAGAAGCAAATATGACAGCTAAGAATTAGGTTAACAAGTTAATGACTATATAGACAGTTAAAAATATTGATAGGTTGTTGTTTAGATGCATTTTGCCTGGTGACTTTAACTGATAAGTATAGCAGCATAGTCATGTTTAACATGATAATGCTCTTTAAAATATTATTAACAGTTGTTATATAATTTTCCCATAGGAACTGCATTATCACTTTTTAATTTAATAAGCTGATGTAAAATCTATACTAAAAAAAGTTTATTTCTTCCTTGTGTGTGTGTGGGGGGGGGGCGGAGAGAGAAAGAGAGAGAGAGACAGGAGAGAGGAGAAAGACAAACATCATCAACCAGTTTTCACGTTGTGGTCCCCATGCCCAGCTTTCCCAGTCACCCAGGATCAGCAGCACATACAGGTTGAGTGAGGAACCAAACTCGGGTCTTCTATATGATCTTTGGCATGGCAAAGCCTTGTATAGCTGAGGCAAAAATCTTTATTTCACATGGTCTTATTTCATAATTGAATATCAAGCATACCCTACCTCATATCATCTGATTGCAGCATGCAGTGAATTATTCCAAAAGCATTTTTAGAGGGTGGAAAATAGCAGAGGGTGAGAAATAGGGAGAAAAAAATATATATGGAAAATTGGAAAATTATTGATGATAGCATGTATGATTAAGCCACTATGCAGTGTATTCTGGATGGGAAACCATATTTTGTATGCTGTGATGGTGCTCAGTGAATGAATGTAAAATTAATTAATTAATAAAAAATTAGCAATAAAGAGAACGATTCATCTTTTGGTAAGCAGGTAATAACTGTATACAAGACTAAAATGATCATGTGATCAGTGACAATATTATTTTTCTAAATTATGCCTATCAGGACTTAGAGTTTTGGAGTCATGAAGAAGAAAATTACATATTATATGTCCTTAATCAATATTAATTAACTAATTAAATTCTGTTTAGTGAAGCAAAATTAAGGCAATACTTGAGATAATGACACTGGTACTTTTGGTAAGAAAATAATAACACCTCTGAAGGAAGATGGTAACTTGTGTATAAACAGCAAAGAGCAGTTGAGGGGGGGCATGACTTGATATATTGCTGTCTGTTTGACAGTATTGATCAAATTTTAACCTACTCATTTGTTTCGCCACAGAAGACATGGTTTGATGCATGGAGAACCTTACATTTGAGCCATAACTAGGATGGCTATTTAAAATGGCCAGAGCTCTGCTTCCTGATTAAATAAAACAATTTGCATAATTATTAAAAATGGACTATAATATTCTAGTTTTCCTCTTGTTCCTTTTTTTTTTGTAGCTTAATGTTTAACGAATAAGTCATAGGGCTGAAGACAGCAGATGATAGTGGTTAAGGTGCTAGACTCCCACATGGCCAACTACAGTTCAAGCCCCAGACCCAGCAGTTTGAAAATCATACTGGGCACATGTGCTTGTATGCCCCAAATCCTAAGAGTAGATGGAGGAGAAGGGGTTGCATTGTGATCCCCCCCCATGAGGCGGGGGGGGGGTGATTATTACAAAAAGAGTAGTTACATTTTCATTTGAAAGCATAGTACAAAGTTTTCATTCTGTGTGCTATAAAATGGTTTTATTACATTTCCCAGATGAAATACTATAACATAATTGTCTAATAGAGTTAGTGTTGTTTTCTAGATTAAATTTTGCTTCACTATCATTTTCTAATTGTAGTTTTTCATGTGTTAATTAAAGCCTGAAGACAGCCATGTTAAGGAAATGTTTAAATAAAAATAGTAATTATTCGTATATTAGACTAAAAGAACATCTCAAAACGATCCTCCCCTGAGTGTTAGATTATAATGTTTAAGGTGATACCTATTAGTAAGTACATTGAAGATTGTAATTAAATAGTACAGAATGATAATGCAAACAAGGACTCTTCTTACCTTTAATATTAACTAAGTAAATTTATAATATTTTTCTGTTTTCTTTTTAGATCATTAAGTACTTTCCCATGATTTCCTTTGAATCTGGGCAACAAAATTTTTTGTCAGACGGCCAAAAGCACAGATTATAGTCTTTTTGGCTCATCTCAAAGCCAATCTTCTCAATATTCTTCATAACACTGCAAAAGATTTTCAAGAGCAACAACTCATATTATCATGTATTTTAATGAGAAGAAAATCATCAACTGGTCTATAGACCAGTGGGGCATGGAGATAGTACTGTTTATGGCAGTCCAGCCTCTCCATTGTGAATGAGGAGCCTCCCCAGTTGCATACATTTTTTTTCTTTTTAAAAAATGATTTATTTAGTTTTATTTATTATTATTTTTTGAACTTGCCATAGGGCATGTATATTCACCAGAGAGAGAAGGTAGAAAGTGAGAAAGCAAGCTGGCAGGTTCAGGATTTGAACCATGGTTGGTCACGTGGGAGTTTGACGCCTTAACCACCATGCCACCTGCTGGTGTAAAATGTATACATTTTTATCTTTTTTTATTCCTTCCTCAATTCCAGGCAATTTGATTTATGTTTCCTCTTTCTTCACATAACACTTACTACAATGCCCTACACAGAGTTCATATTCAATAAATGTTCATTCACAGACATATTTTTCTTGGTTTAACTCCAGTTTTCACAAGGAAGAACCTTTGTGCTTTGCCTCTGTGTGTGTGTGTGTGTGTGTGTGCGTGCGTGCGTGCTCATGTAGGGAGGATATTATGCAGTTACTATTGTGGAAAATTAGCAGCAAAAAAAAGTAGGAATATGACTTTTTCTTTACTTTTATGGTCTGGGAAACAGGAACAATTTAAAATGGAACTATAATAGTAAATGTTTATATTATACTCACTAAGCATAAGTTTTATATATACTATTAATATTAAAAATCTATGATCATTTTTCTAAATGTCAAGCCAGTTGTATACAAGTCACAGAAGCCTCTAGAATTTTGCTTCAGACCTTGTCTTCATGGATTCTGAATAAATTTTCATTACTTTTGATGCAATTATATTTAATGCCAAATGGACTTGTAATGACCCCCACTTAAACTGCAACAAAAATAGGATACTATTTATTGGCCACTTTAAGTTTTTTATTCCAAATATTCTTCTAATTCAAGAGCTGTTAAAACACAGGTTTTACATTATTCTACCCTTGCTTCATGGCTAATGATGAATACACTTGATGAGGAATACTTCACTTTAAGTGGCAGTTCTGAAGTACTTGCATGGAAGGTGATGCACAGTTAAAATTATTCTAACAGTCTGTTATGCACTGTACACAAGTAATAAAATTAATGGATGCACTTCAAGTAATGATCTATTTCCTTTGGGTGCAATATATTTATTCATAGACTATTTCAGGGGTTGTTTAGAATATGAGATGTGAATGGATTATGATCCATTATCCCTGAGATTCTAATGTGCTACTACAAAATGGTTTCCGTAAGTATTGTTCATAATGCCTGGTGTGTCAGTGTTTGTATTCTTAAATAGCTAACAAAAAATTAGAAAGACAGATGCTCAAATGATCGATGCTTAAAACTTTGCTGATATTTACTTGAACAAACAGTCATAAAACTTTACATTTTCAGTTAAGTAACATAATTGTATAAAATAATTACACATAAAACAATGATATAGTTTAGGAAAATTATTCATCTGTGATTCTTCACTTGGAAATCACTACCCCTATTTATTCTAGAAACGGTTTAAGGGACCTTCAGATAATATCACC